TCTTTGGATCCTTCCTTGGGCGTGAACACCTTCGTTGGGAGATACTATTTCTTCGTATCAGGTATAATCCTCTCCTACTCCTTTTGGTTCAGATCTGGTTCAGTTTATGGTTCAAGAATGATCCTTGAAAATATGATTTTCTAAAATAGGGAATGCAATTCCCAGTTGAAGGGAGAGAAAAAATTTTTGAAATTCGCTCCCCTTATTCCGCAATCTTTGGGCGTCCATACGATGGATCTCTCATCCCTTCAACCTTACCATCCTCCCCCTGAACCGCAAACCCCGGTGGTTGCTCCATGTACACCTCCTCTAGAAGATCCCCATGGAGAAATGCATTTTTAATATCAAGCTGAAATAGAGGCCAATCATGCATGACAACTAAGAAATTAACACACGTATGGAGACAATCTTTGCAACTGGAGAAAAGGTTTCGACATAGTCTACACCATAAAGTTGAGAATACCCTTTTGCAACTAAATGGGCTTTTAGGCGTTCCACACTCCCATCTGGTAGATACTTAATAGCACACACCCATTTACAACCAACAACATGCTTACCTAGGGAAAGAGTGGTGAGTTCCCATGTCTGATTATGATGAGGAGCAAAGAGTTCCTCTTCCATAGCTTTTCGCCACCCTGGCGATGTAAGATCCTCCTAAACATCCTTACAAATTATAGAGGACAATAGGGTAATAAACTGGCGATGGGTAGTAGAAAGGTGAGATACAAAAACATAATTGGATATGGGTTAAAGTGTGCAACTACGTTTACCTTTCCACAATACAATAGGAAGGTCAAGATCAAAAGCCAATGAATTGGTGGTGGAGGTGCTGGTCTTTGTCGATGAGTATACACTTGATGAATTGGTGGTCGTTTAGGATGCTCCTGTAACAGGGCTGGGGAAGACCCAAACACAAGGGGAACCACCAGAATGGAATCATTAACCAGAAGAGGAAGAGGAACCTCTATAGGCAAAGGATAGATATCAAAACAGAGAAGTATGGCACTGATTCAAAAAATGTAACATCAGGGCAAACAAAGGATTTCTGGGTAATAGGATTGTAGCATTTATACCCTTTATGGGTCCTAGAGTAGCCTAGGAAGATACATTTAATGGAGCGAGCATCCAACTTGTTTAAACCAAGACCAAGATTTTGAACAAAGCACATACACCCAAAGATCCTGGGTGTCAGGGGATATGGAGACAGAGTAGGAAACAAGATAGAGAACGAAGAACGACCATCAAGAATGAATGTGGGCATGTGATTAATGAGAAAGCAAGCAGTAGGGACTGCATCACTCCATAATCGTTTAGGAGCATCCATATGATGAAGAAGAGACTGAGCTGTTTTAAGTAGATGTTTGTTCTTTCTCTCAGCCACCCCATTTTGCTTAGGAGTGTGGGCACAAGAGGTCTGATGAATTATACCATGTTGTTCTAGGTATTGCTGAAAAGAAGAAAGAAAATATTCTCTACCATTGTCAGAACGAAGAATTTTAAGTGAAACACCAAATTGTATACGCACTTCAGAATGAAATTTTTGGAAAATGAAAAATAATTGACTTCTTTCTTTCATTAAATAAATCCATATCATTCTGGAACAATCATCAACAAAAATAACAAAATACCTATAACCACTGTACGACTCAATTCTAATCGAACCCCAAACATCTGAATGAACTAAATCAAAAGGACTCAACATACGACTGAAGGAAACCCGATGGTGTTTCCCATACTAATATGACTCACACTGCAAAGATGACAGACGACTCAATAATTATCTAGGGTGAAGGTTTGGATGCTAGGCAAGTTATACTTGAATGAGCAAGGGTGGCAATGTTTTGATGTGAAGTGACCTGAAGAAATCTCTCATACTCCTCTCTAGGAATACTCATCATCTCCCTCCCAAAAGTAGTAGTGACTGTAGAAGATGCTGGATCAACTGGTTGAGTATCACTGACTTCACTACCACCAACAGCTGCATGATTAGCCCATGTGGATGGTGGACCATGTAAATCATACCCCTCTCTAATCGAGTCTAACATGATATAAGACATGTCTGGTTATTTCATGCATAAGTAGGGTGATGATTCTTGACCCAGCCCGGCCTAGCCCATAAATTTTCAGGCTTGGGCCCATATTTCCATGTACAGCCCAACCTAGGCCAAAGCCCGCATCAAGTCCGAAAAATTCAGGTCTGAGCTTGGGCCTAATACTTCAAGCCCAGCCTAGGCCTAGCCTGACCCGCAATATATTATTTATATTAAATATAAAAGTCTTAAGTTTTATTTTAACTTAAATTTATGAATTGAAACATATTAACACATGTCAACACTTGAGTCAATTCAAGTATGAGAATTGTCCTCCTAAGCAAGGCCTTATATTTATAGAATTGCACTAACTATTTAGTGTTGTTCAAAGTCCCACATTGCTCAAGAATGGGAATGAAGGGCTTGCCTTCATCTATAAAAGGATAGGTAACCCAAGCAAAATCAAGTTTAACAATTAAACGAAGCTCATGCCTTGTTCTTTGTACCATAGGCCTAAAGTCTAGCCAAGCCCAATTTAACTTTGGCTTGTGTAATTTTTTTGTATGTATTACATTTACATATCATTTAAATAAAAATTTAAATAGTTAAATTTTATGATATGATCTCATGGGCCCAAAGTCATTACTTGTTAGACCCCCAAAACCCTAAGCCTATCCTGGGCCCATGTAGAGCTGAGCTTGGGCTTGCAATCTAGGCCTAGGGTGTGGTCCAGGCCCGGGCCTATCAACAAACTGTGCATCTGACATATATATGCTCGAACAAATGATTCTTGGATAAATGCTTGCTGCTCATATCCAAAATTTACTCCCCCTATCCATTAATCTTCAAAACTGAAGTTTCACTTTCAGTCTAGTCAAAAACCTCGAGAACAAAAATGTCACTTGGGGCTACAAAAATGAGTTAAAGAAATTCAAATGGCTGACAAGAAATATGTCTATAACAGTACAATGGGTTGGGAGATCAGCTAAGGCTTTTGCTGATGTCTTGGCAAAACAAGGGATAAATAGGGAAACATTGTTCTGGGCACAATTGTAACTATTGTTTTAATTTCAACATTCATGTTTTCTCTGTTGTAGTTTGTGTATTTTCTGTTTGGAGAGGCTGCTCCTCGCGCTTCTAAGGGGATCCTCTTGTCTCTATTCATTATTTTAATGGAATTGATGTTATTTATCAAAAAAAAAATCTCAAGAACAAATCAACACTCCAAAAGAAACACTTGTTCCATCAAATAGTCATTTAAAATACCAATAAGAAGAACTAGAACTTATTCTCTACATTTATAGGCCAACAAAAATAGTTCTCAGACACTCATTCTCTCTTTTTTTTGGCTTGCCCTGTTATAAAGGGTATTTATGTAATTTACATTATCTATGCCCACCTTAATAAAGTAGTGCTCCTTGGGGGTGGGGGCATTCATTCAAATACACCCTTCAATTGCGTTTCTTCTTCAACTAACCCCAGATAGGGTGACACTTTGAACACTCGTTCCACGCTTTGATTTTCTGTTCAGCCCTTTGAGATTCAGGGGCATAATATGACAACCATTTCTCCATGGGATCAACAAAGTCTGCATCCTTAAGCTACATGTACCCTTGGTTTCATCAGTTTGTCCTTACTCCTTTGTATTGTTGATATATTTTGCAACTCTTATTAGTTTGTTATTGAAAGAGTAGAAAGAGAATTAACCTTTGGAATCTTTGAGTAATACCTTGTCATGCAATTTTCTTGATTGGGATTATATACATATATACATTTGTCTGTGTATGTATATGCAGAAAAGTCAATTTTAAATTTTACAGAGATACTTTGAATATTGAGTCGTTTCAAATTTTAGTTGAATGAGTAAATTTGTGTTTCTATTATAACTTTACTGGAATTTTGGTATTTTACATTTGATAATTGATTGGACATAGCACTAATTGGAACTATGTTTTCTTTTCTGGTGGTAATACATAGCAAATCAGCACACTTGCTGGAAACCAAGTTCCTAGTGATTTTGTATGGGAAGTTCTTTTTACCATGGCAGTTACTGGACTTGGCCTCTTACTTTTTGCATTACTGATTGGAAATATGCAGAATTTTTTGCAATCCCTTGGTAGGAGGTATGTACTGTTTTTATTGGATTTATAACAAAAACTGCCACTGTATATACAGAAGTAATTTTTCATGTTTTTTTAAATTGAAATGCAGGTTTTGTAGTCAAGGGATATATTCATAATTTATGGATATGAGAAAGCAGTTTCAGAAGTTTTTTTAATGTTACTAGAAATTAAAAGAAACAAAAAAGATTTAAGAAATAAAGGAAAAAGAAAGAAGGTCTCTTGAAAAGAGAAGATATGAGAAAGTAGTTTCAGAAGTTTTTTAATTTTACTAGAAATTAAAAGAAACAAAAAAGATTTAATAAATAAAGGAAAAAGGAGGAAGAAGGTCTCTTGAAAAAAGAAGAAGGAGAAGAAGTTGAGAGAAGAGGGAAGAGAAAGCTAGGAAGATCTGGCCACCTTTCCCCTTAAGTCCTTATACTTAAAGAATAAAAAACATAAAATGTCAATTATGCCCTCAATAGGGCGGCTATTGTCTACATAAATACAGATTGATGAAACATTAAACTAATGGACCTTGGGCCCAATAACATTAACTAAAATTGGGGTTAAATGTCACACATTCCCAACCTGTGTAGATCATGTTCAAGCTTGCTTTTTTGCAATTCCTTTGGTGAAGACATCAGCTAGCTGTAAGCCAAATGAAACATATGGCAGAAGCTTGTGACAACCCTTCCTTTGGCAAAGTGATCATTAATATCAGCCCCTTGAACCTGGACAACCCTTCTGCTCTCTTCACTACTCACCAATGCATAAGCTTGTGA